ACTCATGTGGCTCCTTTCTTGAGGCTGGGCAGAGATGGGCGGTGGCATCAGGACCCCTCCCCACATCATGACCTTAGGTGGTGTCAATGGACAGTGTTGCTGCAAGGAGAGTGGTGGAATGCCAGAAGGTAGGAGTAAGGCAGATGGTAACAGGGAAAATGGTGGGTCCTACCTGATAGGGTGACATTCCCAGCTACCCAAGCTCATTATTAGCATTGACTTTGCATAAGGGATAAAGCTCATACATATTAATATGTAAGTGGTTGCTGACATGTCTGATTTGTCCTAACCCATGCAGACCTTCTGGGTGTACTGTCCCTTTTTCTTCTTCTCTTGCTCCAACGCTTGCCTCTATCTGCTTGAATCCCTGCCTTGGCAAAAGCCTAAAGTTTGGGAGTTCCTACCAGGCACAAGGGCACATGCCTATCATCCCATTGACTCTGGAGGCTGAAGCAGGAAGATCTCAAGTTCAAAGCCAGTTTTGGCACCTAAGTGAGACCCTCAGCAATGTAGTGAGACACTGTTTCAAAAATAAAATAATAATAATAATAATAATAATAAGGACTGTGGGACTATAATCCCAAAGGCTCAGGAGGTTGAAGCAGGAGAATCCCAAATTCAAAGCCAGCCTCAGCAACTTGGTGAGGCCCTAAGCAACTTAGCAAGACCCTGTCTGTAAATAAACAATTAAAAAAGGGGGCTGAGGATGTGGTTCAGTTGTTAAGCACCCCTGGGTTCAATCCTCTGCACACACACACACACACAAAAAAAAAAAAAAAAAAAAAAAAAAAAAACAAAGAAGAAGGACCCAGGGTATTAACATCTCTAAATATACTCAGTCATTAAAAGTTTGACCCTGAAACAGTAGCAGATGTGCAGAATGAGGAAGCCAACATATATTAAGCACTTACTAAGTGCTGGGCACTATTCCAGAGTATATGTACTAACCCATTTTATTTTCCCAACAATCATGTGAAATAGGAACTAATATCTCAGCTACATAGAAGAAGAACCTATACACTGATAAGTTGAAAAATTTTGTAAAAAATTCAAGTAAGGGGCTGGGGATGTGGCTCAAGCGGTAGCGCGCTCGCCTGACATGCGTGCAGCCCGGGTTGGATCCTCAGCACCACATACCAACAAAGATGTTGTGTCCACCGAGAACTAAAAAATAAATATTAAAAATTCTCTCTCGCTCTCTCTCTCTCTCTCTCTCTCTCTCTCTCTCTCTCTCTCTCCTCTCTCATTCTCTCTCTCTTTAAAAAAAAATTCAAGTCAGTAGAGTTAACTGGGGTACAAACACACATGGTCTGATTCCAGAGTCAAAACAGCTCTTAAATTCTACCCTACATGGCCTTGATAGAGAAACCATGTCCTGGAAATTCAGAATCTACCTTGATGTTCTGCCTCAGTTGGGTCCAGAGTAATGTAGTTGGCTGTCTGTGGAGTCGGATCTATGAAACCATGAGCCAAAATAAACTTTTTCTTCTTCTCTACATTGATCTTGTCAGATATTTTGGTCACAGTGAATCAAAAGCTGACTAACACATACACAGAACAGGATCTTGAATCAGTCTGAGAAGGACCTCAACCAGCTCCACCACTTAACCACAGTGGACTCTAGGAAAGCTTCTTACCCTTTCTGTACCTCAGTTTATGCCTCTGAAAAATGAAGATTCTAAGCCTCATGGAGTCATTGTAAGAACCTATGTGAGTTAAAACATACCAAGCATTTAATATTAGTTATTAAATATAGGTAACATTCAATCTGCAAAATTAGTCCACCCTGAAAAATGTCTTGCTGAGGAAAGTCTCTCAAGTCCAATCACTTCACTTATTGTGTGGGAATATGTCTGAGATAACCCGGGACAGTCTATCCTGAGCTTCAGTGTTCCAAAACCTGGGTTTCTCTTCATTTCAAGAGTAATCTGAAGCTGTCTTCTAACTCTTCTAGGGCATTTTGTGATGTGTAGTAAATGACACACACACAGACAGAGATACCTTCTAAAGATGAACAATAATCTCCAAAGGTAGTATGCTTGAGGAAGACATGTTAGGTGAACACAATAGCCCCCCAAATATAAGAGGATCAACAGAGATTCCATTCCACTGTGGAGATGGTATGTCACATTATTGTCACTGACCTCTGTTTGTTGAGCTATTTCCAAGCTTCTAAACTCACCCAGCTTGTTGTCTGTTCACATATCAAGCAAAAAATTTGAAGTTCTAGTCCTTTTAATTTTTTTTCTCTTTTCTTTAAGTAAGGTTAGATTCTGAAGCAAGACATCTCTCATCTCCTGTATTAATTTCTGCAAAGGATTGATTGCTAACATGAGGACCTACTAACTTCCTGTGCTGTGTCTAGCTGGCAAAGAGTCTGGATGGAGACAATAATCTGTTCTCCAAGGTAAATCAATGGCAACATTTTTGTGTGTTCTTAAAAAAAAGTATTTTAGAATGTTTTCTTTTAATCAAATAAAATATTTTATGTACTTTGTTTTTTATGTGTATCAAATAAAACATTTTATGTACTTTTGGTTTTTGGTTGATATTATTATTTACATAATTGTAGGATATGCCAAATAAAATCATGACAAAGCTGTTGATTCAGAGGTCATTAAATCTCTTGATGAATTCACAATTTGTTTCAAGTGCTTTGTTTCCTCATTCAACAGCAAAAATAATTTGAGAAATTATCAAAACAAATCACCATTAGAAATGTATCATATAAGCCTTCTGAAAATGAATCTACATTTATGAGTGGAGAACCACATTATGGTTAGATCAAATAAGAGATAGGTAGCTGCAGTCAAACTTATTACCTTCCATCTTCCTAAGTAGTAATCTAAATTTAAATTTAAATAAATTTTATTTAAATCAATTCCATTTTAAATTATGTGCATCAATGCAATCATATTGAATAGTCGATGGAGCCTATTCAGAAAAATACTCAGAGATAAGAAAGATGAATAAAAAAGGAACTGTCATCTTGTTCTAATTAGAGGAAACACCAGGGGAAAATGAAACCATCTGAGAAAGTCTAAGATATGAGAAAGAACTTTGTCACTTTACAGAAGGGAAATAATAGGAAGAAAGACTTCAAACTAATATTTGTCAAATCAATTCAACCAGAATTCCTAGACTTTGTCTATCAGTTCATTTTACTTGGTGCTAATCAACTTAGAAAGGGGTATATATAAGAAGAAATGCCAAGATTCATCTTATTTTCCCCTCATCAGCCTATATTTCAAATTCAAATTTACCATACAGTATGCTTCAGCTTTTTATTCTAAGAAGCCACATCATCCGAGTCATAAATGAATCCATATGAAAGTCACGTGAAGAGTTAACTCATAGAAAACATTCAGAGAGAAATTATATTGGCATAAAGAAGCTACCACTCTTCAGAGGAAACAGAAATTTAGATTCCTTTATGAACTGAAATCAAATCCCATGCATGTATGAGTTTGTCAGGATGAGCCAAACTACTATGTATAAGTATGATGCTCTAATTTTGTAAAAAAAAAATAAATTAATCAAGTACCTCAAAAACAAAAAGACATTCAGATTCCTACTCTTCCATAGTTACAAACAGTGCAGATATTTATGAAATTAATATAATGTCATTTTTCTTTATCGTCAGCATCTGAACCTTTTTTCATTGAATTTATGTCCATTCTCCTGCCTGCCTGTGACCCTGAGCACTCTCTGATGGCAGTCTTTTGTTTGCTCTGGGTGTGGTCTTATGTTGGATAGAATTAACAGAGCAAAGCAGGATGCACATGTATAACAAAAACAGAGGAATGCTAACCATTTTATGGGTTTTATACCCAGTGGTGTCTCATGTTAATTTCCTGTGATTTAATGCCTTAATTCTGAATTGCTCCACTTTGCAATTGGCCACCAGCTGCAGATAACGCAGGTCACAGTCACAGATGAGTCCTCTCAGCCTCCTGAGACCATTCTGCGCACTTGCCAACAACATCCAGAACAGAAGCAGCTGAAGGGCCACAGTAGACAGACTGGTAAAGAAAGTTGGTCTGTAGCAGTGGTTTTCTCAAGAGTGTGATCCTGGATAGCAGCAGCAGCATTGCTGGGGAATCGGTTCAAAATGCACATTTTGGGGGGTACCAGGGATTAAACTCAACCACTGAGCCACATCCCCAGCCCTATTTTGTATTTTACTTAGAGACAGGGTCTCACTGAGTTGCTTAGCACCTCTCTATTGCTGAGGCTGGCTTTGAACTCTCGATCCTCCTGTCTCAGCCTCTGAGCTGCTGGGATTACAGGTGTATGTCACTGCGCCCAGATCCCAAAATGCACATTCTTGAACTCCACCTCACACCTAGTGACTGAGAAATTCTGCACAGAGGCGCAGCAACCTGAGTTTTGTTAAGCCCTCCAGATGATTCTGATGTACACGAAAGTTTGAGAACTATCAAATAAGTCTGAGAACCATCAGATGAGCACGGTTCCCCAAAGTCATGGTTTTTTGAAAATTTGTAATACTTTGGTTTTATCACAAAGCTACAAAGGACCTGAAATAATATGTATATTACTTTTTCTTCTACATAGCTATAAAAAATAGGAGAAATGAAAGTTGGGAAAGATTAGCGAGGTCACTGACAAGCAAATATTTTTCTTCTTTAAAAACGTATAAATTAGCAATTTTATTGAGGTAAACTTACACATTCCAAGAAATGATCTGGCTCTGAAGCAGGATATTCAAACTGCCTAGACTTTTATATTATCATTTCAAAACCATTATATAAAATAATATTTCAAGTGGCACTTCATAAAATTAAAAATATCAATCACATATAAATTAACTCAAATCTCATATTTAAATTATCAATACATTTAAAATAATTAAAATAGTGTCCTAACACTCATACTGTCAGTTCTTCATAGAGAACAAGATAAGGTAGGTACCCAGTGGACAGGATATGTTTTCTGACCATAGGAAGCAATGCCCACGAACCAATAAGCTTAGATGCCCACTATGTTTTCTGAACAGCTCTCAGGGTGAACTGCAGGAAATCCTCAAAGTTGCTCAAGATGAGTTGCATGGTCATGACCTTCTGCCAATCATTCTGTGATTCCAGTTTTGCCAACAGGTTGATATTTGCAGTGGGCTAGGGAAGACTATTTTATTGGGATCCTTCACCTCTTGTTTCAGGATCTCAGTCAGGGCTTTGGAACTGAACTGCACATGTTCGGCTCTGTCCCTGTTCTTGCTTTCCTGAAACTTGTTCCGGATGTACCTCAGGTAGACCTGAAACTCCAGAAGCCCCGAGGTGATTCGCACAAGGCAGTTGTCCCGATTGTAACCAGTTTGGAAGCATCCATCTTTTTCAGTCATCTTTGGAAGGTTCAGATTGTTTTCGGACACTGCCACATGGCTCTTCATACAGGTCTCATCATTCTTGCACAGCTCTTTTCTCATTTCGAAGACTTCCTTGATGAGGTAGGAAATCTGTCCTGAGGTTTTTTCGGAAGTGGCACGTGTTGATTTATTTCAAGTGACACTATTCTCTCCATCTTCTCTCTAAAGTTCTGAAGCAGGGAAGGCAGTAGCCACCACTAGGAGCAGCCCCAAGGAGGCAATTGAGAAGAACTTCATGGCTGTTCCTGGAGGTCAGATGGAGCTCTCTTTCTTTCCTGGTGGGCTCAAGAGCTGAATGTCACAAGCAAATATTTTCATATAGGCAATGGAATTGGGTGGACAAGGATGTGAATCCCTTTTCTGAGACTCACAGCCTGTTGAGGCAAAGGCTTTCTGGAAATAGCTTTCTCTGACAAGCACAGAATCTCACTCTGTCTACCTTCTTGCTGTCACTGCTATCCAAAAATGGAACCAGCTTCATGAAAGAGGAGACCCTAGTGTACAGAAGTGCAGGGTCACTACTTTCCTGGTCTTTGGGCACCTGTAGCAATGGCTGCCTGGACTTGCAGGATACTGTCATCCGGGTCTCTTCTTCACCCTGCCCATGCCTCACAGCCAGGACCTGCTGCCAACAGAACCCACCACCCCTCCCAGTGCTGCACCTTCCTCTTGACCCTTAGGCCCTGGTACAGAGTGGTGGTAGGGCTGGGCTGAGTGGGAGAAGCACAGTTTCCTGGCCTCCTCTAGCCAGGCCACCAGCTCTTGTCCTCCTCCTGTTCTCTCCACCTGACCTCCTCCAACAGCATCCAGCAGCAGCTTCGAGGCTGCTCAGCATCCAGGAGAGGTGTCAATGGCTCCTGTCCTGGAGTTCCTGCAGGTGCGCCAGAACTTCCATCTGTAACTTGGAGTCTCTGACTCGGTTCTCCCTTACCTTTCCTGTTGTTCTACTCCTCTGTCTCCTGCTTCTTCACCATCCTTTCCTCTTTCTCCTCCTCCTCTTACAGCTTCTGGGCCCAGCAATTACAGGTGTTCCCAAGGTATAGAATGTGTCATGGGGGTTGGTCTTGCTGGTGACCCTCCCAGGCAGCAGGAGCACTTGATATAGAAGCAGAAGATAGGCTGTTACCATCTAGGGATGCTGGGCTCATTGTCTCTGTTCAGCAAAGACTTGAAGAACAAGATGCAGAGATAGCAAGCAAACAGCAAGTTAATCCCAAAAGTGACAGAGATAGACTTCTCCGAAGAGAAGAAGCCCCAAAACTAGAAATCTGTTGGGGGAGTTTTGGCATGTTCTTTTCCTGGTTCTCTGGAATTTCCTCCTTTCCTTATCTCCTCCCCTATCCACGTTGTCTTCACTATCATTGATTGGTGGCCCCTGTGTCCACATCTGTTTTAGTTTTTCTGTTGGATCCCCGACTTAGGAACACAAGTATGGAAGTACCTGTCTGATTGGGTCCCCCACTTGTGTCTCTGAGCACTTTCCAAGCAGGAAGTTGTCCTCATTAGAAGACCCCTCCATGCTCCTTTGTTCTGGGCCTGCCCCTGACTTCCTTCCTCGCCATCGTGCCCTAGTTGCCTAGACCCTTTGATATGTCCCTCAAGGTGGGCCCACGAAGATCTCAAATGCACTTTCTGAGTACATTGAACTTTTTGCTCTTGTTGATGTGGCCTCCACATCTCTTGCACTTTACATTGAAAAGGGCCATCCCCCACACCAAGACAGCTGGACTACTCATCTCTTTGGGTGCTTGCATTTGAGGATCTAGGTCTTGGTTCAGTCAAAGTCCAGCAGGTAGTTCTGCTGGGTCACAGCAGCCTCCCACTCTTCCCACAGGAGCATATCTTAGTATCTCCTCACTGCCTCCCCAAGGAAGAATTGGCATCTTAACAACCTGATGAGGCAGGTCAGGCCCACCCAGGACTTGCTCCTGTTGAGTGACTTACACATTTTGGGCTTTGATTACATCTGCCAAATCCCTTTTAGGCAGCACTTCAACTAACATTTGATTGGCTCGATGAGAGATATGTCTGATTTTTCATGAGGGCAGGAATCTTAAAGGATTCTGAGTCCCACAGCCCCACATGCAAAACGAGTTTTTGAATCAGGCATTTGGGTGCTCACCTGTAATCCCAGAGACTCAGAAAACTGAGGATTTCCAGTTCCGTGCCAGCCTTGGCAACCTAGCTAGACCCTGTCCCCAAATAATATTTATAAGAAATAGAAGCAGGAATCTGGGAATATAACTCCACGCCACTAACCTAATGTATGATTACCCCAGCAATACATACGTGTGTGTGCGCGCACACACACACACACACACACACACACACACACAAAGATTGTGGAGTCCTTACAAATTTCAACAAAATAAAACAGGAATTGTTGAAACCCCAGCCCCTACATAACTCATTGTGAAATTAATAGATTTTTCTTCTGTCTGGAACTAAAATAGTTCAGATATTAAGGATCTTTCCAATAAGAGATTTGACAAAGTAAGAAAGGAGGAAATTTTCTTACTTTGATAAAGATTATTTTTTAAAATTCTACAACAGCCAGCTGGGTGGTGGGCAATCATACATACTGGAGAGGCTGAAGCAGAAGGATCACTGAGCCCAGAAATTTAAGACCAACCTGGACAACACAGTGAGACTCTGTCTTTAAAAGATTTATTTATTTATTTTTTTTTTTTTTTAAAGAGAGAGAGAATTTTTAATATTTATTTTTTAGTTCTCGGCGGACACAACATCTTTGTTGGTATGTGGTGCTGAGGATCGAACCCGGGTCTCACGCATGCCAGGCAAGCGCGCTACCGCTTGAGCCACATCCCCAGCCCTTTAAAAGATTTTTTTAAAGGGCTGGGGGTGGAGCTCAGTAATAGAGCACTTGCTTAGAATGCCCCATATTAAATCCCAGTACAAAAACAAAACAAAGCAAAAGAACTACAACAAACAGATCATTAAAGCATCAAAGCTTTCATGGTAAAACTTTAAAAGAGGCTGGGGCTGTGGTTCAGTGGTAGAACACTTGCCTAACATGTGTGAGGTACTGGGCTCAATTATCAGCACCGCATATAAATAAATGAATAAAATAATGGTCCATCAATATCTATCTTTCTATCTATCTATCTATCTGTCTGTCTATCTATCTATATGTATAGATAGATAGATAGATAGATAACTTTAAAAGCTCTCCAAGATTAAGATTAAAACCATGACACCTGATATCACCACTTTTATTCAATACTGAATAGGAAGAGCCCAATAAGAAGAAGAAGGTATAGAAATGGAAAGGAAGAAACAAATTGTCTTAATTCACAGATAATTTTCTTATAGACATACAAACCCAATAAACAGATTTACTAATGGGATTTAATGATGTCATGAATTAGACATAAAATTAAATGCCAACTGCATATCCAAAACTTAGTTGCATGCTTATAAACAAACTAATAATTCAAAAATAGAAAAGAACAATTTACATTTTCAACAGCAACAAAAACAGGTACTAGAGAACAAATTTATCAAGTTTGAAAATTTCCAGGCATGGTGGCACACGCCTGTAATCCCAGCTACTCAGGAAACTAAGACAGGAGGCTCACAAGTTCATGTCTGGAAATTTAGGGAGACCCTGTCTCAAAATAAAAAATGAAAAGGACTGGGGATATAGCTCAGTGGTAATGTGCCCCTGGGTTCAATCCCGGGTACCAGATAAATAGAGTAAAAACTTCCTTTGTAAAATTTTGAAAATTATATCACTTTATGAGAAGCAGTCATTAGAGAAGATTTAATCAATGGAAACATACTTTGTTCATGGAGAGGGAAACATGATATTATTACAAATCTCCAATTTTTATTACTATTTTAAAACTATAAACACACTTTATAATCATTCTATTCAACCTGAGATGTGTGTGTGTGTGTGTGTGTGTGTGTGTGTGTGTGTGGTGCTAAAGATAAGAGTCTCCAACATGCTAGGCAAGCATTCTACTATGGAGCTACATTCCCAGTCTCTAGACATTTTTGGTTTTTGTTTTTTTTTTTTAATTACAGGAGATTGAACTCAGGGACACTCAACCACTGAGCCACATTCCTAGCCCTATTTTGTATTTTATTAGAGACAGGGTCTCACTGAGTTGCCTAGTGCCTCTCACTGAGTTGCTGAGGCTATCTTTGAACTCACGATCCTCCTGTCTCAGCCTCCAGAGCCAGTGGGATTACAGGCCTGCACCACTACCCCCAGATAAGATACATGTCTTAAAGAGTCAAATGCAAAAGATGGAACATTTGCAGGAATAGAAGAAAAGGTCTTGCACTTGGGGTGATACATTTTTTAAAAATGTAAACACAGTGGGAGAATTCAAGATCAAAACTAATCTCTGAGCCTGGCACAATCCTTACCTATCTTTCCCACTTCCTCTTTCATGCCTTCCCTCTTCCCTCAACAGGCTTACACACACACACCTGCCCCTTTACTTCCTGCGTTGGCCTCTTCCCCCTCAGCAACTCTCCCAGGTGCAGAGCAAGTCTCCCTCCCCTCAGCAGCCAACCTGTGGGAGTTAAGACTCCCCCTAATGTCATAGCAACTCTATCTGACTTGATGGAAAGATCTGGCAATGAATCAAGTGCAGCTTATAACACCTCTGCCACTGTTGCCTTCAACCATTATTTGATTTTCTTTAGGGTTTTTGTATGTATTTGCTCTTCTCTCTAGCGAGATTATAAACTACTCCGTATTTTTCATGAAGTCCAGAGTGACAGTAGATATTGTGGTAGAAAGAATAATGCCCCCCACCCAGAGATCTCTACGTCCTATTTCCCAGCACCTGTGAATATATTAGGTTACATGGCAAAGGAGAATTCAGATTGCACATGGAAGGAAGATTGCTAAACAGGTGACCTCCAAATACTGAGAGTAGGCTGGACTATCCAAGTGAGCCGACTGCCATCACAAGAGTCCTGAGGGAAGAGGAAAACACAAGAGGTCACAGGAGGAGATATGAAGATGGAAGCAAAACTAGAGGAATGTTCTAGAAGGACCCAATCGTCCACTGCTGGCTTTGAAGATGGAGGGAGGAGGACACAGGTCAAGCAGTGTAGGCAGCCTCCTGATGCTGGAGAGAGCCAGGTCGTGAATACTCCCCTGGAGACTCTGGAAGGAGCACAGCCCTGCTGACACCTGGATTTCAGTCCAGAGAGACCCACTTCAGGCTTTTGACTTTCAGAACTAAAAGCTAAAT